CCCCCGGCGGCGCCCGCTCATTTACATTCCTCCGGAATATGGAACGTGGCTTCTGGAAGGCGCCCGAAAAACAAGCGGCCCGGCCTTTTGCGAACGCGCGCGATTCAGCCACTCCGCGAGTAAGTATAGACGCGCTGCCCCGCGGCTGCGGGCGGTTCCTGGGCCCCGAAATTATGCCCAATTCGAATTTACTTACGTCGTTGCTACTCTTCCACCTTCTGCACCTCTCCCTCTACGTCGACCTCACTACCCTTCCTCTTCCTTGTTCTTCTTTATTTTCTTTCTCATCATAACGACTTCCCTTCCAACGTCTCCTCCCTCTTCGCCTTGGACTCTATTTCCCTGTTCCTCCTCCTCCACCTCCTACTCTTGTTCCTTCACATTTTACTCGTCCTCTTTCTTCTTAAACTTCTCATATTCCTTTTTTTCATTAAACTCGTTCACATCTTTCTCGTTCGTCTCCCAATCTCTCTCTTCGCTCCACATTCTTTAACTTTTATATATTCTTATTGTGGTTCTTCTCTTCCCTACGTCTTTCTACCCTATTCCCGTCTGTTTTTCTTCTTCTACTTGGTCTTCGTCTTTTCTTCGTCTTTTGGTTGATTACTTTTCCGTTTTTCGTCATTTTCGTTCCTATCGTTTATTTCGTTTTTGTTCAATTGGTTTTATTCCTTTTGACGTTTTAAAGTTATTCGTTTCGTCTTTTTGTTACCCCTGCACCAAATTCTCGAATGTTTGCGACCACGTTTTTAAAAGCTGGTCATTAATTTCAGTGAAAAAAGAGAAATGATTTTTTAGATAAAGATTAATTCTGATATAATGCTATATTTTGTGAAGCTCTTCCTTCTCCCATCTTACAATCACAGAGTAAAAGCGCGGTAATGATAGACTTCATTCGAAACCATATCAGCAAATTCTGCAACTTACAGCTTTTTGACACACATCTTGAGCTAAGAATATTATAATTTGTCAATTTTTAAAAGCAGATCAGAAAACTTATTTCAGTTAAACTAGCTCTTTGTAAATCGAGAGCATCCTATGCTGTACAATTATTTGAAGTAAGTTGATTCATAATAATGTTGTTTCTTTATCAACACTTGCTAGGCAGTTAATTTCTGAAACTAAAAATAAAACCAACTAATTATTAATATTATCAATTAGTACTATCGAAGGAATTTTTATTTTAATTGACCTAGAAATGAAAAAAAACCTTAACGGAGCAGTTTTAATTGCATCATTTGTATTTCCCAAAGATTGTAGGAAATAAACTAAAGGGAAACAATTAGAGAAAAAGAGAAATGTCATTTTAGAGTTAATGTTGCAATAATCAATCGGTACAACCTTTAAATCATTCATCCGTTATATTATATTACGTATTCTTAATCGTTTTGAATTGTAATATTTAACTGGAATAATTGAATTACATTTTGGCTATTTAGTAGTGTGCAATATAACGGCTTATAATACATGTTGAGAACATTATTTTTTCTGATGAGTTCGTATTCTTTCTATAGTCAGAATCACTGTCTCTCATCTACGTGTTATATCACTCACGCGAGTGCCTCACACTGAACTCTCGATGTGGCTGCCGTCAGCTCGGAAGATCCTGGATCCAGACATCTGACTATCGAACGTGCCGACGACACCGATAATCGTCTTGTAACAAGCGACCTTCTTCTATGTGTGTCACGTCGTCGTCAGACACGGAAATCGTGGGGCTAAGGTCGGAAGTGGCGTCGTTCTTCCTACCATTCAGCGGTTTCCTCAACTGTTCGAAGTGAGCTCCAAGCAGGAGATAAATCACGCGGAACGGCGTGGTTACGTTTGTCTAACAATTTTTTCCGCAATGAACTATCTCCCTTGGGAGTCCGAATTTGTTTAGGGGAAGTGGCAGTTTTACACGTTCGGGTTTGTGCGATTCAATATTAACCGAATCCCAAAGACCCTCAAGGCTCTCAGTTTGGCCCACCTGGATTTATCGCTCCGTGGCTGACTGTTCGTCCCTACCAACGTTTTGTCATAACCTTACGAGGATGAGCTTTCTAGGTAGAATTTTACAAGTTGCTATTTCCACGGTACAGATCTGTATATTTCAAATACAACTCTTGAGAGTACAAGCAAATGCAAATAAGTGTCCCAAAAACAATCTGGTGTTGGATTTCGTCTATGTTAACTTTATCACCAGATAAAGACCGCAAACGTTTGTAATTTTACGAACGGGTAAATCAGGGCGGGTAAAATTACGTGGAATTTTGTACATTTCCCGAGCGGACATGAACCCTTTTTATAACTTTTCACCTCTGTACGTTCTGCGTTACATTGACGATGAGCTCTTTGCTCTGTATGCCATCTCCATGACTGTATCATTTGAAATGATTCCTATTAACATTGTCGGATCGGATGTAACGATTTTGTTCTCGAAAGGACAGCTCCGCACTCGAGTCTTTCATCAGCTGTAAAGAATGGGGAAGAGCTGCGTCATTTGTCTTGTTTTGTAGGGCGCTAGAGGCCTTGTAGCCGGCAATTTTCGAACCTTCTAAGAACCCGGAAAACGGCATTACTGGCTCTTCCTTTGCAAGCTCCGTTCCGAAATCGTGAATCAGCTGTTAGTTTCCTGATTAACTCCTGAAGGCTCAGCAAAATTCTCTTCCTCTCTCTCCTTTCTCTTTTTCCTTTTCATTTGAGACATTTTCCTCTAACATACAAGTATCTATTCATTTATGCATGGTGCAGTTCTTAATAGAACAGTAACTAGGATGTTAATAATTCCACGTGCTTAAACTATACAGCGGATAAGGATTTCACAGCGA